AAAATTTTTATTATACAATCAGAGTGATAGCTATTGATTGAGTGTATATAGAACTTGATCAATTCAATCGATAGTGAGATCCGATTATCTCAGTCTGCCGCAACTCACCGGCTCACGTAAAGGAGCACGGCAGTGTCTCGCGCCATAAACCTGCGCTTGTTTTAGCGCCGAAACACTACCGTATACTCCAGATTATAGGAACACTACAAATTAGTTCATAGCTATAGCCGGTATTAGAAGCGAAAGGGTTAAAGAAAATTTAAGCAAAGGGAGATAATGGTACCTTGTTCAGTCGAGGATCTCTGAGGTGTCCGATACCCTTTACCATATTTATTGGTATCACATCTCCCGAAACCTCGTGGATATTCCTTTGTTGTACGTCCTTCACAGTAACATGCGAAGATAGAAGCGTCCGCGTCCATAATCCTCCGTAATTTGTGCTACTAATCGATATAAAAATACGCATAAAAAATTTACGCGTTTCTAAAGATTTATTTGTATTAATGTATTACATAATTCCATCAAATTGTATCAAATCGGTATTTAAGGAGATTCTAAAGACGTCTGTTTTACCGATTAAATAGAACTTTACATCCCACAGTGAACACAAAGTTACATATAACATACCTGTTAGTTGTAATTTCCCACTTAATAATATAACTGTAATATAATGCACATGTTATATTAACTTTGTGTTCACTGAAATATACACACAGACAATTTACGTGTCATTGACACATCACTATATATTACTACATCAATATCTCATGCATACATATACATAAATTTTCTTATATGTTTTAATTAGACATCTGAATCCAATTCTAAAAACACTATGTTATTTCTTTATGCAAACTAATAGTCTATGCGAACTAATAATGAACTATTAGTTCATAAGTACACCTTGGCAAAAAAAATTTGAGTTGAAAAATTAAAGTTGAATGGTTGCCACAACTAATAAGTGAAATAAGTTGTACAAACTTTATGAGAAGACTAACTTTATGAGAAGACTAACTTTATGAGAACGTTAACTATAGTATTTTAATTCTCTGAACACATATTCACTTAAATTATGGTTCTGAAATATTATAAATTTGAAATAACTTATGCATAATAATAAATAAACATTAATCAAGACTAAGACCTAAATTCTAATATATTAAAAATTTCTGAACAGACATTTCAATCTTTTTGTCAGGCCTTCAGTGTTTACAATATTAGATAAAACGCAATAAAATAAAAGAATCATGGTTTATTTCGAGCTTATAAATAGATAACTAAAAGTTAATAAATTTAAAAGTTAATAAATTAACGTGAGATACAATATAATGTGAAATTCAATATAAAATTTGAAGAAACAACATTAACATAAAATACAATAAAATTCAATATAAAATTCAAAAAAATAAACTGAAGGAGGTTTTGTAAGCCGAAGCGTTTATTTTTTTTTATTTTATATTGAATTTTATTGTATTTTATCTTAATGCTGTTTCTTCGAATTTTATATTGAATTTCATTGTATCTTATGCTAATTTATTAACTTTAAGTCTATTTATAAGCTCAAAATAAGCCACGATTTTGTTTAATTTGCATAGCAATCACATGAATCTTTTTACTCTAATTTAGCAATAAAATAAGTTTCTGTAACGATTGGATATACATAATTCTAAAATTATAGTTACGCTAACATAAATGATGGTCGTGATTCTTCATGTATTGTATTTATGCCGTAACAATATAATTTCTTTTTTCTCGTAATTTTGTTCATTGATGTTCATCTATAGAACTGTGTCTAGCAGTTGCAATTCATGATTCGTGTAAATGATAAAATCGGTTGAAAATATAAGTCAGTCGATAAGATAGTATGAGCACACATTCTGTCACTTATAAGAATTAATATAATAGATTATAAATTATAAAACCAATAGTGAATAAGTGATGTTACATTCACTGATTGTTCACATATAATCGTTTAATAAGACAAGTTTTCATAAATATATTTAAGTATATCTAATAAATTAAAAATTGTGTACATATGTATATCTCAAACGAGAAGTTGTAGCAAAGATGTTAATCCAATAATAAAAAACAGTAAGTCAAATTAATTTTAGAAGCAAATTGCGATCCGAGTCAAAAAAATTGAAACAGTCAGAAATTAGCGTTCAAATGCTATGCAATAGAGGCTAGACTTTTGTGACAGTTGGAAGTGGGGATGAGATTGGAAGGGGAATAGAGATAGGAATAGGAAAAAGTTTTACTGAACTAATTTTGTTTTTCGAAATTATTAAAAATAAATTTTTTACATTACTATTAAACATAAGATAGTTTGTAATTCTTTGCACGTAACTGATATCCTAAAATAAATATTATCATTAGATATTTCCGTATATTTTTTCGTTGTTTACTGAACTCGAATCTATTGCGTGCAATTGTACGTCCTTGGTGCAATAGTTTCCGGACGGCTACTGTTTTTACCTTGATTTTGAGTCACGAGATCATTCTGATCCGTTTATTTCCGCCAACTTCTATTTCGCAACAGAATCGACAAAATGATTATGTAAAATAACGTTGCTTTGTTCAATTTAATTTAGAAAATGCTAAAATGCAGAAAAATGTGTTATAATATTGTTATAAATGAAAACTTGTTCCAATATTAACTCTTGTTTTGTTATTAACAATAAATGACTAAAAATATTTAAAAAACCTATTAGAAATCGAGGCAATGTCAAGAGGATTGTGATAATTTATATGTGTGTGATCATTTATATGTGTCAATTTTTGTGCAGCTAAAGTTAATAATTTAATTTGATTCATTTGAAGAAATCTAACAAAACTCTAAAAATAAATCAAAATTTGTTAGCAGATTTCTTTAATTTAAGATTCTCACAATTTACACCTTTTCGGCTCTTTGGCTGACAAACAAACTTTCCAGCTAATCGCTGATTTTGATGATCTTTCTTTAAATACACGCACACAAATTTCCTTCCAGTTCTGAAAATATCTTCAGCGCCAAATCTGACGACCTTTTTTTTTAATAAGAAAAAATACTATATAAAAAGTAAATTTAACTATTTAAATAAATGGTACTGATAATCAGTGCCGTTTAAATAAACGATACTGATAATCGATCTCCGGCAGGACTCCAGCAGAATGCTGATCAAAAAGTAGCAACTATAAACTATAATTTTTTTTATACCAATGTTTAATCAATCATAATAATATTTCTTAATAACTAATTCAAGATACAAAGATTCTCAAAATATGGATTATGCCGATCGTAAATTTTCGTTGGAGAGCTACTTTTTGAAGGACGACGAGCACCTTGAATCGACGAACGACGACTGTCGCACAAAATAAGATTTGTATTCCGACGATCAAGGCCACAGAGAGACGAACTAGGCCAGGTGAAGGCCAGGGATAGGAAAAAGGGTGAGAGAACGAATCGTCGCCAGTGGCGGGAACACCCGACAAAAGCACGGTAAACGATTCTGCTATGTCACGACAAGTCTGGCTTCACCTGATATCGATCGCTGATTGTCGAAGCACTCCTATTTTCAGCACCACGTTATGATTTGTCTCGCGTGTCAGGTTACACGACGGTTCTTTTTGCTCGCGAACGATTGTTATCCTCTCTGTGCCCTAATGAAGGATCAGCGCATCCGCCCCTTCGCGTTATCCGTCGTCCACCGATTGCCCGTCGTGCGTCAACAGCTCGTGATGTCGACGGGCCGTAGGCCCTCCGACCGTTCGAAGCATCAACAGTCTTTGAGATCGCGAGTCAAAAGAAATTGCCTTCTGGTACTCACGATATAGACCTCTGCAGAATGAACATTTCGCTCTCCTTCTGTTGAATACGCAGCTGATCACCTCTCCCACCCGACAGGATCGGCGCGCGACTGCGCGTTCTTAGGTCGTAG